CATCACCTTTTATGGTAATGAATGCCACAGATTAATCAAGCACAGTGTGAAGAAATACTTTCTTTTTCTGGTTTAAATGTTTTTCTGATCAGTTAATTGGATGAATCCTGGTCCTATGCTTATTTTTCCATGCTATGTATGATTTCATATTTCAGTCAGGCCTTTGGTCATATTTTTTCCAACTAGAGCAAACTGGAAGAGAGGTTTTTTTTACATTGCATCACTTTAAACGCCTAAGGAAATATAGAGAATAAATCAATAGCAGGATTCATTACAAAATATTATTGGGTGATTTTTCTCAGTTTCTTCAAAAACGTTCCCCCCCCAAAAAAAGGATTGACGTAGGTATCACTGGTCAGATGTACCCATTTACTTTTGTACTGCTAACAGAATCTAGAAAGGCCAAATATATATAGTGCAATTTAAGGAGGAAATAGTGTAACCTATATTTATTATCAATTCTTGACAACTTTCTGTGCCACCAAGAGTTTCAACATGTTTAAATCTTCCAATGGTGTGAATGGCCCTAATTAATTATGCAGATGGTTATGAAAGAATTATTTAAATTATTTAAAACCAAGTTGGAATTTGGGACCATTCCTTTTGCAAAATATCTTCAGCTGTAGCAGGGTTTCCATTAATAGTTATGTTTTCTAATTCCATGAAATCACTAGTGCCCTATTCCTTCTACCAAATAAACTTATTTCCATGCTTAAAAAGAGAATGAAGATGGGCGAAGCCAAAGCTTGTGTCCGCCTTTTCCAAACTTTTAAAGTAAGGAAAGGAAAGGACAATAGATAATAATTTCTCAATGTGAGGGAAAAATGTTTCTAGTAGGAGATGGGTAAACTTTTTTCAAAATACTTCAATAAAATTCTCAGGATCCATATGGCCTTCCCTTTTATTTTGGCTAAGAAATGAACAGTGTGTGTGTGTGTGTGTGTGTGTGTGCGTGTGTTTGGAAGTGGGCTTTTCAGATTTGGAAAGTGTGGGTAATTAGGGAGGCATAAGAGTGCTGGAAAAATTGTGTAACCAAAAAAAATGTAATAGCATCTTCCATATTGTACAGTAATAGCCAAACATATCCAAGAAACTACAGGTAATCCTTGTTTAGGGACCACAGTTGGGACTGGCAACATGGCCGTTAAGTGAAGTGGTCACTAAGTGAAACTGCAACTGTGCTTATGATCTTCCTTCAGCTTTCCTTTGCTTTATAGACCTGCGAAGGTCATAAATGCAAGGATTGGCTGTAAAGTTACTTTTTCATCACCATCATAACTGTGAATGGTCATTAAACAAGGCATTCACTAAACAAGGACTACCTGTACGTTCTAAAACAAAAAACTGAGAGAAAGAAAAACAACCAGAGAGAGAGAGAGACAAAAAAATGCTATTTCACAGTAGGAAGATATTGGAGAAGACCTTTTGACACTGTATGAACTGTCAATCTTCAGGAATTGCCAATGGTTTGGCAGAGACTGCTTTTCCCACTTTGCTTTGCAACTCTTCACTCTGGTGTGATTTGGACTCAAGAAGATTAATTTCACTCTTTCAAGAGTTAAAAGGGAGGCAGAGGATGTTGGGCTAAGGTGGGGAGAGGCTGTTTGGAGAGTGTCACCCACATCTGGAATTCCTTTGCCCCCTGAAGGTGACCCCAAAGCTCTCCCACTTCAGAAGAGCAGCAGTTTGTTCAGAGAGGGAAGCTGGGAATTTCCACCATTACACAACGGCCAGGTGATCCATCTTATCACATTTATTTTGCTCTTTATTTACAAGGTACCAGTTGAAGGAAAGAATTGCGAAAGAGAGCAGAATTAAAATTGGAGCGGTGCTTGAAAAAACAGGACAATTACAAGCCATAAATTGCAACGTCAGCAGCTTATCAACCTCCAGGAGTCTCAGGGTGAGTGATTTCCCCCACCCCATCTTTTGTCTTCCAAAAACAGGTCTGAAGAGACCAAGCTGGTATTCAGACTTCAAACAAATAATTGTGTAATAACCACATTCGTTGGATTTCTTGATCTTCAAGGCAGATTTGCCAATATGTTACATTTTATTATTTATTATTTTGCCTTTTTTTTTTTAACAGTCTCAATGCTTGCCCAGTGTGCTCGGAGGGAGCTCGGCTGAACCCTCGTTTTACTCTCACAGTAGTCCTGTGCGTTATATTTGATAGGTTTGTGTGCAACACGAACCAAAAAGATTTCATTCTGAGGTGGAACAGGATGGCCCCATGTGGAAAGGGACGCCTAACCCTAACCCCACTACTCCTTTTAAATTGTATTCATTGTGCACGGTGCTGTACAAATAAGGACAGTGACAAATCTCTATTAATAAAATTAGCAGGGGAAGAAAACTGAAGCAAACTGTAGAGCACCTTCCTCGGTCTCGGTGTGTTGGACTTTAGTTCCTATAATCTCGAGTTAGCACTGCCAACAGCTGAAGGAGACGTACTTGTCTTCTTAGCATTTGTCCTACACGGTTGCAGGTTCTGCTTGCTTTTGCACTGTTTTTCCCTAGTCCTTACAGGGAAACTATCAATGCATGATGCCATCCGGGGTTTTGTTTTTCCACCAGCTTGGAAGGGAGTTTTAGGCTCAAGGTCACCCAGCTGGCTTCTGTGCCTTAAAACCTCTTTGCTCTTAGTGCAGCTTCTCAGCCACTATATCACAAGGGTTCTCTTTGGAGAAGACTAGATTAAGTAAAAAAAAATTAATTATTTGTTTTTTAAAAAAAGTTTCCCCCCCCTCAGTTTACAAAATCTCTATCTACAACGCTCTGAAACTGAAATTCCTTCCAGATGTTCAGATTTCGATTGATGGATTTCATTGAGACTTCTCAGAGGTTTCCAACCTGATTCCATCAATATATGAAAAAAAAAAAATTAGGACATTGATTTGCAGAAAAACATTGTCCCCGCTGGCTTAGAGACACTCAGCTGTTGTTGAGCTCTCTGATCCCTGAAAGGAGACATTTCCATCTTCTCAAGCTGCATTAATTCAAGCTACGTTATCAGATCTTTATATGCGGCCTTTCTCTTCAGAAAGAAAACTCAGCCATTATACTCAAGTATATCTCATCACAGACATCTTGGAGGATGTCAAAAAAGTTAAGATGGCAGCTACAACCACATGATAGAAGTCTCAATCATTTTTTATGTGCATCGCACACACCTGGCTCCTGTAAAAAAAGGTGGGGTTTCATTTGTGGTTGTGGCCAGGATCTTGACTTTTTTGATGCCACAGAAACCTCTCTGTTTATCATCTATCTTGCCCTTGAGTGCAGGTTGTCACCCCATCTTCCAGGTATTCCATGCAAGAGCTTAGATACAGATAAAAATCACTCGGAACTTGAGTACAGGTTGTCACCCCATCTTCCAGGTATTTCATGCAAGAGCTTAGGTACAGATAAAAATCAATCGGAACTTCAAAGTTCCGATTGATTTTTATCTGTATCTAAGCTCTTGCATGAAATATCTGGAAGATGGGGTGACAACCTGTGCTCAAGGGAGCCATGTGAGTGATGCACACCCCTGGCCATCTTGACTTTTTTTTACTATATCCCGCAGGTACCTCTGCCCAGCCATAAAACTGTATAAAGTGGGAGTTGGGGAGATTTAATCCTCTCCTCATCACCGCTGCCATAGAATCCTGCTTTGGGGAAAAGAACATTCTGATGCTGTTACATGTGATTTGGTCCTTATATTGTGAAATAAGGGTGCATTCGATCCCAGCTCAGAAGGCATCCTAAATCACTGAGCAACATTTAAAAAAATGCTAATTGGATTAAGGGTGTTTAGAAAGCATAAGGATCTCCTCTGAGATGGTCCGTGAATGCCCCACCCAGAGTCAAGAAAGCTGTGCCTTAGTCTTCAACTCCGTTAGTAATGTGCAAATTATCAGCTGATAAAGCAAATTTGGATAATCAACTAAGATATCTTATAACCGTCTGAAAGAGCTCTTTCCCTCTAGTGTTAAATAATAGGTATATTCCTATAGCCCATCTGCATCCATTACTCCTAATATAATGCCTTTTTTGACATTTGTAGCATCTTAAAAAGGAGTTACATTTGACTAGGAAACAATGAGTTACTCCAGTTATTTAATTTCAGCTGAAAATGCAAAACTTCTCTAGTTGTTTTGTTTTGAAGTGGGAGTTCAATTTGATTAGGAAATATTGACATCTAGTGGAGAAGGATGTCATAACATCACAAACTCCTAGAATTTATGGAACATGCTCTGATTTTTTTTTTCAGCAGCAACTTCTGTTTTTTCCCACATGAGCCAGGTGCTAACTTTATAAAGTTTTTTTTTTCCTTTCAAGTTAGTCAGGACTCTCCCTGGTATAAAAGGGAGAGAAGGTGAAACACTACCAGAGTTTCAAGGTTCTGTTATTATAGCCAATCTCAATAAAGTAGACTTCTACTATTTTTGTGAGCTTTCCTGATCTGATCAACTTGGAAGAGCTGGCAGTGGGGGAGAGAGTGCATTTGTATGACTGGCCCATGATTTGCCCATGAGCCATAGACTGACTAGCAATTGGATCCAAGTTTCCTTAATCCAGGGACAGCAAACCTGGGCTGACCATTTGACAAAATGAAAGATTATGGAGGCAGTATGAGAAGAGACAACCCAGTCCAGAGGTGGGGACTGTGGAAAAGAAACATTTCAGAGAGACCCTGCCTTAATTGGTTTGCTCTAAGTTTGCCTTTATTTTTACAGTTTTCAAGATTGTGTTTTTATCCCTGACTAGCATTAAAGATGCCATTCTGAAGTCCACGTGGTTCTCGTTTCTTGAGTTTACTTATGTGGGGCTTGACTGTTGCTGAACTACAACTCACAGCATCTCTCACCACTGGTCACACTACCTGGGCTGCTGGCAAGTGGAATTCAATGACATTTGAACGATCACAAGTTCTCCACCTCACCTAAAACACAGGACAGCACTGTAGGGCCCACTAGAATGCAAAACACTTTCTAGCAAAGATACTTCTTTGAGGCCTACATTCCTGATAAGACAAACTGCATCTCGGTGTTGACATTGGGCTGGCCACTAATGTTGGAGCTACCCACCCTCTGCTTAAAGGCCAGTGGGAAAACTTTCTTGAAGGCCTTCCGAAAATTAGTGCCCATGAAGGCGTAGACAATGGGGTTGAGGGAGGAATTGGCATAGGACATGCAGTGAGCCCAAATCTTCACCTTATAGGTATAGTAATTGTGCCGAAAGCTGGAGTCAAAGGCTTGGAAGAGGATCAGAAGCTGCACTGGACCCCAGCAGATAGTGAACAGAGCAATTATGACGGCCACCATACGAGAGATCTTGGCTCGCATAGCTTCAGAGAGTTCTGCCAGTTGCTGTACCTGTATTAGAGCACAGAAAGGGAGGAAGAAGAAGGAAGGTAGGTAGAGATAGTATGTTATCATTAAAGTGTTGGACTGGAGCTAGGGATGTCCAAGTTTAAGTCTACCCTCAGCCATGCTTCTCCCAATGAGGAAGAAGGATCAGGTGATTCTGCCATGTCCTCTGTACCAAATCAGTGGTGTTCTAACATAAAACATGGACCAGAACCAGTCCTTATCAGCTGGAACCCTCTGCTTAGGACTGTAGAAGTCCAGACTGATAAAAATGTAGGAGACTGTTATGTAAACAGCCAGCTGCCAGCTTCTCTGTTATCAGTGAAGAGACTTGCCTCTTCAACAAATCATAGGAAGGATGTTAGAAAGAAAATCAGAAAAATCTCCACTGTAATGTGCATGAGGCTGTATTGTTCTCAATGGAAAATAGTTCAGCTGCTGGAATTCTAGTAACCCCATCCTCTTCATCTCAGTAAATCTTGCTAAAGAGAACTTGATGAGAATCTTGCTTGGAAAAGAATCACTTTCAATTTTAGGCAGCTGCCACAGAAGTGAAAAGGACTGTGATTCAGATTCACTAGTATGACCACCCAAACCATATAAACAGTGCTGCTACTGGGTCATGTATTTCATAGGGTCAGAAAGGTACTGAATGCTTAGTAGAATGTGCTGGCTCTAAAAGTCTACTCAAGAGTAACTCAAAGCATGTAAAAAGCTTTACAGCCAGATCAGACTTAATGAGTACTGGCTGAATCATTAGTAGAAGAGCTACAGTTTGTAGTACAAAGTTATTTGTTTGAAAACAACTACGTATGTCTCTTGTTTGTGAGACTCATTACTGTTGTATGTAGATGCTTGACAGACTTTTCTGTTACTTGGACCTGACTTTAGTTCTCTTACATTTATTTCTTGAAACTTTGACAGGACTCACATTGGTTTAGATTCTCTGGCTGTGTGTAACTTTGGAGTGTACAGCACCACTGTTGCCTCTCCATGTCCCTAACCCTGCCTTCTCCCATAGTTATGAGCCATTTCCCCCTCCATCTTTGCCCAGAGTTGCTCCGATTAAAAAAAAATGAAGATCTTTCACCTCGTCTCTAGTTTATCCCAGATGCAATGTACAGCTTATAGTACCTGGTAGTGGTTATCAGCTGGCTCCACAGTGGGGTGTCCCATCTGGTAAAGCATAGCACTATAACAGAGGAAGATGGTCAATAAAGGGAGGAGGTACACCACTAAAAAGTTGTACAGGATGAAGGCTCTCTCATGGGACACAGAGGGGAAGGACTCGCTGCAGAACTTTTGTGGACCGAACCAATAGCCTTCTATTAACTGGTTGTAAATCAGCACCGGGATGGAGACAATGAAGGAACCTGTGAAGAAAGAGGCCCGGGATAAGGCTGGCATCTCTACCCCACCTCCTGTTGTGGAGGCCTTATTTTTATTTTTATTTTTATTTTTATTTGTTTTTATTTTTATTTTTATTTATATTTCAGATTTAGACACTGCCCATCTCACAAGGAAGTGACTGGTTCTGTTTGCTGATACACTGAACAAATTACCCACCTCCTTCCAAAGGGTCTAGCAATGGGTGTACGTAATAAAGGCACAGTACAAAGAGAAATCAGTCCAATCCATTCATTCATTCATTCATTCATTCATTCATTCATTCATTCATTCATTCATTCATAAAATTATATAACCACCTATCTAACAAAAGGAACTCTGGGCAGTGAATGCATCTGGAATCCCCCTGTTCCAAAGTTTGCCCAAAGTGTCAGAGAAGGCTGCTCACATTCCTTTAGGGTGACACTATCACATACCCGTTAGAGCTGTGCAAAGCTTGGGATTCAATTGCTTAGTTGCTATTGCACACAGGATCCTGGGAAAAACAGCAGCTGCTTTAAGGCATTACAGACAGATGCTAAGTTTGCACTCTTGTGTGCTCCAAGGCACCTTTTGGAGGTTGAGTGCAACTGAGGCCCAACCCCCATATCCATCCATGGTTTATCTACAGTTATTGTATTAAGATTCACAAGGGTATATGGCACCCGGGGCCACATTGACTGACAGCACCGCCTCCTGTTGATACAAAGATCTGCATTTGAAATTATTCGGAAAGAGGGGTGGCGTTGGTGCCCCCTAAGCTTTGGCACCGTAGGCCAGTACCTACTCAGCCTTAGCCAAAGCTGGCCCTGGGTATGTGTGTGGCATCACAACACACCTACAAAAAGGACAGAGCTTGTGTTGCAAATGGTTTAGCCCCTGCCACTGAGGACCTCACAACTTCCAGAGAATCCTATGTCTGTGGGATACCCCGGACAGTTGAAAAGCATCTTAGAAGATGACAGCAACATACCATTTCTGTTCTGTCACCCAGGAAACTGCCGAAATGTGCCCATGAAGACACAGGGACTAAGTCTGGCTCAAAGGAGACTGTGCACTAAGCAGCCCGATTGATCTACAGTACGGTGCTGAATTGCAAGATATGATACAGAGACTCCTAGCCAAATCCACATTTTCCAGAAATAGTTGCAGTGTTGAATGCTTCCCAGAGTTAGGGTTACTGCATTGATTTATGCCATTGATCCTTAAGCTTAAAATAAGGAATTTACTGCTTGCTTAATCTTAGCAGCTAAAACGATCATTGCTCAACATTGGAAAAACTTAGATAATCTGACAAATTGAGCAGTGGATTAACAAGACTTCTTCAATTGCCATGTTAGAAAAGGTTGCTTCTAAAGTTCGAAGCAGGGAGGGGGTCGAGAAAGTCAAGATGGTGGCCACAGCCATGCAGTCAAAGCCCCGCCCCCTTTTTACATGCATCCCCAAAAAAGGCAAGGCTTCAATCGCATGGTGGCGGACACGGTCTTGACTTGCCAACGTCCTGGTTAGAATAATGAAACATTAAAAGCAGGAACCACAATTCTACCAATCTTCATTTGGGAGGACTTTATGTATTATCTGAATGGTAACAGGCTTATTATTGGCAATACTTATGATATATGGCAAATACGAAGGGATTTATTATGTTTTTCTCTAGTTTTATTACTTTTTAATAGATGTTTGTTCCCCTCCGCATTAGGATATATGACCTATTCAGTTATGTGGTGATGTTTTTTAACAATTCTAGCTGGCCCTCGATGCCACCCCTACTCACCAACCCAAATGCTGATGCTAACATTTGCAGCGACTCGTGGCGTGCGCTGTCGCAGGGATCGAAGTGGAAACACGGTCACGTACCACCGGTCCACACTCATGGCGGTCAGGGTGACGCACGTGGCTTGCACTGAGACCTATGAAGCCAAACCAAAGAATTCTTTACAAAGCTTGCCATTACTTTGGTGATTCTTCTATCAACCTAAGGTATAACTTTGGGAAGAGCTGCAGCTCACTCATAGGCATTCACAATGCATAGAGACAGGCCAAAATTCCCATTTTGCTCAGGGCCCAAATGCAGCTTCTTTGCTTTTTATACATTCCTCAGCGGTCGATCTAAGTGAATTCCAGCATGGTCTGAAATGGCAGAAAAACAAGCACCTAGTTCATAAAACTCTTGTCTTTTCCATGATTGTCCACAGAGAGCTACCATAAATCATGAATTACTCCTGCAAGAAATAGAGCATCTCGGGAGGAAATTGCTATGGGAAGGAATAATTTGGTTATATCCCTTTCAGGGGTATCCTGGGGTCATGACTGCACAACCTCACCTTTTTTTCACATGTAAAAAGAGGTGTGTCTTCAGTCACAGAGTCACAACCACCATCTTAAACTTTTTTACTCCTTTTGCTCCGTTCTTGTGTACTGGGCATCATTAGAGCATATGGTCATGCCTGGCGCAGAGACACAGTGAACTTGCCAGCCGTCAGTGGAGGCTGCCCACTGCCACTCTGTATTTTTTTTTAATTTATTTATTTAACTTGTCCCCGCCCATCTCCCCACAATGGGGGACTCTGGGCAGCTTACAACACGCTAAAAACATAAATACAATT